TAAATTTAAGTACAGTCTCCTCTGTAAGGGGCGGTTTCAGAAGGGTTTGCTTGGGGGGTAAAAAAAAAAAAAAAAAAACTGGTTCGGTTCTATGGATGAGGCTGAGTTAAACTGAAAGAACGAATGGAGTATTCTGTTTCCTGAAAGACTACATTTCCCACAGGTCATTGCTGCAAACATGCTTCCTTCAAAATAAAAGCTGCAGATTTCTTTCACATTTTTCACTTTGATTTTGTAAAATGATGTTTTCACTTTTTTCTTTCTTTTTTTAAAATCTAGCTGCATTTTTGTAATTTACAAAGACAGAAAGATGTCGTTGAGGTGTGTGGTAGCAGTGATCTCCACTAGACGCACGCTGCTTGGATTATTATTACAGCTGAGGCTGCAGGGACTAAAGAGGAATAAACTTTATGAACAGATGGGAAAAAGTTGTTCATTTCAAAAATCATTTAGCGGCAGCCGACAGCCCGGAAGACCAGTACAGATGGGATCTTTGCTTTGACAGTATAGATGGAGAAGTTTAGAAAAGGTCAGAGAGAGTTGCTGAAAAACTGGATAAAGAGAAAGTGGGTGACACAGTGCCAGGAGAGGAACTGTCACACTGTTTGAGGAAGTATGTTAGGACAGCACACAGTAGGAGCTGGGACAGCAAGACAGCAGAGATGTGTGAGGTAAGTTTTGTAGATTTGACCAGAAATCTGCTTTTAGCCACTGATTGTCTCCATTGGTGATGGACTGGTTCACAAATGAGGTCATGAAGACATCTCAGAGCAAGGTGATATTTGCAGAAGTAGTCTGGATGGTGAAACAGTAGCATCGTATGAGGAAATGGGGAGCGGTGTGGAACATTTCAGAACAGTGAGACAGTGGTAAGGTGTGCTGTGAAAGAGACAGAGGAGTTCCAGATGTAGTGGGGTTGTGGTCACATCTGGGATTTCTGTTGTCTGTACTGAGAAATGTGGAGAGAGGAGAAATTAGCTGATGTCAGACAGAATCGATGAGTGAGAATCAAACAGAGACTTTAAGATTAGTAAAGCTTGAAAGATTAGAGGGACTCTAGGTGTATGAGTCCATTTGAAGAACTTGCAGAGCATAAAAGGTGTGAAAAAGAGAGCATAAGCAAGTAGAAGTGGACGGAGATTGTTGGGAGCGATATGTGACAGAAAAGAGAAGCTTTCCAGATTGAGACCAGCTGTGATGTTTGGAGCAGAAGTGAAGATGCTAACAAAAATTGAAAGTTCTGATTTTTGCTGACAGTAAATAAAATTGGGGTGCAGTGGATACATATATATAACATTACCTCCTGACACTCAATGTTTACGGGATGAAACACATAAAATATATGAAAAAAATAAATAATCAGTTCAGGCATTTTACGATGAAGCCTATCCGGAAGTGGCGGCGCTGTGGAAAGGAGACCTTTATTTTAACCGTTTAAACCGGAAGTCGTTGATGTTTCTTCTACGTGTAGCTTGACGGTTTGTTTTTTTTACCCGGACAGCTTCCACACTGGACTCGGACTGAGCCGAACTATGTAAGTAAACCTCGCTCCCAACTGGTCCCGCTGGCCTCGCGGCGGTTGTGCGCAGAACCAGAACCCGCCGGGATGAATACTCGGACGGGTTTCGGGGCCGTAGGAGAGTCGGTTTACTGGTGATAGTTGAGGGGAAACGGCCCGATGTGTCAGGCCTCTCTGACTGACAGCAGCTTGATCCACAGTGAGGGATTTGGGCAGATTGTTGTTAGTGATGATTAAACTGATTTATACCGCAGTGATGGCAGACAGAGAGCCGCATCAGCTGATCCCAATTTATATCCACCAAAACGGAGTTTTTTTTTTGTTTTGTTTTTTTACTGTGTGATTACAGCAGGATGGGGGCCACTGGGATCTCCTCAGAGGAGGAAAACAGGAGTGCGCTCATGAAGGGAAAAACGACTAAATATCCTGATTTTTATTCTTTCAGATGCTCTGTGGGCTCTGAAACCCTAAAGCAGATGTGGCGTATGAGGTCCAAATGTGTTGGTTAGATTTAAATGTAGGGCCAGATCTCATTTCTTTAGATTTCAAAATGTGTGGAAAAGTCAAAGATATGACAGATTCACAGATCTCCAGCAATCTGTCACAATGGGTGTCCCTTGGGGACTTTTATTCGGTTTAATAGAAAAGTTGGAACATAGTGACTCTGGAGGAGCTGCAGAAATCCCCAACTGGGGCGGGGGGGGGGGGAATTTTGCTGACAGGAAAGCTAAGAAAATCTGACAAGAAGAAAGACAAACAATAGGGGACACAGCAAGAATATGAAAGAAGGTGTCAAATGAGACCAACATTTAACTTTTTATTCTATACACACATCGATCTGTTTAGAGGTAATCAAATACTTTGCATAGCATCCCAACTCTGAAACATGGTGGTGACATCAGCATGCTGTGGGGAAGCTGGTCAGAGCTGATTGGGAGATGAAAAGAAGGACTCTAAACAGACAGCCAGAGCTACAGAATAACGGCTTAGATCAAAGTATATCCATGCTTTAGGGTGGCCCAGTCAAAGCCCAGACCAAATGCCATTCCAACGTGTACAGGATTGTTCATCTCTTGAGTTTAGGAGCCTTTTTTTTAATTCCTGAATTGTTTTCAGAGATAAATGGCTTAGCAAACAAACATTCCTCAGAGAGTGGTCAGGGATAAAAACTGGACCGAAACCCAGATGACAGCAGCTGATATCTACAGGAAGCTTGAAGGACTTCATTCCTACAGATTGGGATCTGATCTAAGTACCACAAGTCCGATTGATGAAGAACTGGACAAGACATATGAGGATCTCCATTTGCCAGAAAAAAAAAACTTGTTAGGAATGAAGCATTACATTTTGTTTGACTGATTTAAATGTTTTTATCAAAATAATGTCCTCTAATCAGCAAAAAGTCTGTGCGTGTGTTCACATTTTTAAAGTCCAGCTCGTCCGCTGGAATCAGAAGTCTAGCTGACTCAACAGTTGCCGTGATACTAAAACAAGTCTTTAATCTTTCAGGAAGTTTGATTGTTTAAGGGCCCGTCTCTGCAGCTGCTGATGAAACAGATCTTTTGAAAAAAAAAAAAAAAAAAAGGGGGGGGGGGTCGGAGGGAGTGGAAGATGGACCAAAAAATAGCATAATGTTAATTATTTGCTGGGATTTTTGACCCAAAATACACTCTGGTGTTTTCAAAATGTGGAGACAAAGACTTTTGCAAAGTAAAAGCTGACAGAAACTGATGGAATTATTGTGAAGTATTCACTTGCGCTAAGTTCAGCCTCTCACCTGTTCAAAACAAACAAACAAACAAACAAACAAACAAACAAACAAACAAACAAACAAACAAAAAAGACAAAAGAGAAACTCTGAGAAGGAAGTAAAGGATTATAAAGGGGATAAATCTCCACGGCTTTTAACGTGAATACAACTCTGGCCTGCAGACAACGGAGATGCTGCTGCATTCGTTTTCTGAGATGTTCAATTTGGACTTTTCACTTTCTGTCATTCATTCATAATCGTCAAAATAACAAGAAATAAAAGAGCTTGAAACATTTCATCCCCCTGTGATAAACGTGTACAATACATCAGATTAGCTATCTGAAATGGACTTCTTCACAATATCAACCTTCGTGGAGACGTAACTACCAGCACAGTTTTGATAAATGCCCACCCCATTGACTCGAATCTCCTAGTAGCTATGGTCTGTTTGCTTTAACTATACCAAACCAGATTGGGTGTGTGTTTGGGAGGATTGTTTATATGGAACACCCAGGCTTGTGCCCACGTTTCAACCGTTTAGCTGTTTATTTGTTTAGGTAGTCCTGCGTCCACAAGAGACCCTCAGCAAGATGCTGTCACCCCCCGGATTTTTTTTTTTTTTTTTTGGTCACGTTGCCCAGACAACGCAATCGTCATCTCGTCTGCCTATGATGCTTTCCTTCAGAAGCAGTTAGCGAGGCTTATCTACGCTGGCGTATGCGAATCTTAGTAAGGCGGTGTTGTGTTGACCCAACTTATAGACGTGATCGATAAGCTTTGGATAAATGGCGGAGCCACCCTTCCCCGCCCCCCGCGCCCCAGGAATCCATCACTGCGTTACAACGACAGCCGGGGTACCGTAACTCATCTGCTGGAATCGAAAATCTACTGTAACCGGGAACGACTCGTAGAGTAACTGTAAATGTGACCAGTGCAAGCCGGGTGACTTTCCAGGGGTCAGTAGGATTTTCATGGATGTTTTCAGTTGGGCTACAACTAATGAGAGAGAGAACGTTCTGCCCAACCTGGCCTGACGTTCTGAGCAGGGTGACCGCGACTGAACTCCCGACCTGTTCCTCCGCCCTCTTCCCCCAGAGTTCCTGTGATGCCCCAGGGCGGGCCGAGCTGGCCGGGGTCGCGATGCCGTACGTGGACCGACAGAATCGCATCTGCGGCTTCCTGGACATCGAGGAGATCGAGAACAGCGGCAGGTTCCTGCGCCGGTACTTCATCCTGGACACGGAACAGGGCAACCTGCTGTGGTACATGGACAACCCTCAGGTGGGTGAAGCCGAGCGGGTGTCTGCTCCCGAACGTGATCTTGGAGTCTGCAAAGCAGTGTGTCGGGTGGACCGGTTGGTGTCACACAGAACGGTGGAACATTATGTTACGATTGATTCAGTTTTCCGTTGTGCTTTTTGCAGAACGTCGTGGCTTGATTGTCTTGGACGTTGCGTCTAAATGATCATTAACGCAGTAGTGATTAACCAAATTTATTTTTAAGAAGTTAACTGTTGCATGTTTTGTGTTCATTTTTGATTTCCAGTGACATTTTTGTTAATAAAGAACGCAACATACGATTTGTTATGGACAATGCAGAGCAGACTAACTGGTCAGAAAAATAAAGATGTTTGAAAGAAGTCTAATCTGTTTTTCTACATGTTGCATATTCAAACAATAACTTTGTGCCAAAACTGGTTGAAACGTGATACATTTTGTGTCGATAATTCAAGCAAAATTGACGGGAAAAATATTTACAGATACTTTAGTCGACAAAATTCTTTTAATATAATTAGTCGACTACAACTAAGACAATTCTGGTGACTAAATTATGACAAAAACTAAATGACATTTTAGTCAAAAGATTAAAACTAAATAAAAATGAACACTGCTTGTGGAGCCACCTGCAGTTACAGCTACACGTTGTTTTTCGGGCAGGGTAACTTTTTCCCGTTCTCTTTATTTGCTTTGGATTGAGAGTTTTAATACATCGACCTCGCTCTGGATTCTCAATGAGATTTAGGTCTGGGATTTGACTGGACCATTTAAGCTCACGCATACGCTGTGAGCTAAACCATTATACAGCTGGCTGGATGTTTAGGTTTGCTGGTAGGTGAACCTTCAGCCATTAGTATTTTTGCAGCCTCTAAATGTTCTAAGACAACATTTAGAACGGTTGTTCTAAATGTTGTCTAAATGTTTTTTTTTTTTTTTAGCAAGAAAAGACAACATTTAGAACGGTTGTTCTAAATGTTGTCTAAATGTTGTTGTTTTTTAGCAAGAAAAGACAACATTTAGAACGATTGTTCTAAATGTTGTCTTTTCTTGCAAAAAAAAAAAGAAAAAAAAAGAAACATTTATTGGAGCATTAGATGCAAGGGAGCTAAATACTTTTAACATATTTCATTGTACACACTTTTTAAAAAGCACATCACTGCCATTCTATAATCAGGTCTTCCTTTCTCCTAGCAAACACTGTTTTAGTGGTTTATTTTTATCGTCTGCTCTGTCCGTACCGTTCAACCGTCAGGCTGCTTTTTTTTTAAAAAAAAAAAAAAAAAAAAAAAACATGTGAAACTCTCACATACTTAACATTTGTAGAGGTAGAAACTGTTTGTAGCCACATTTTATGCAGCAGAGAAGGAAGGAAAAAATGAACAAAAACGAAGCGCGCTTCAAAGACATTTCTGCAAACAGGTCAGAACGAAGGTGAAGTTCTGTGCTAACAGGACAAAACGACGTCGAGCACGTGACGCTGGTCACGTCTGAGTGGCGCTTTTTTTTTTTTTTTTTTTTTTAGCCGTGCCCCTGCACAAAACAAACATCCGGGGGGTCTGATTTGGGCGTTCAAAGGCGCTC